TTTTTTTTGTGATTTTAAACTTTGGTTTAATTCTCATACGATTTTTTAGTTTGCGAACTCATAAAAAGTCTGTAGTACTTAGACAAACTCATACTAGATTCCAAACTCATACAATAATCGACATAGTACAGTCGTTTGTTCACATAGAATATCCATAGAAATCCAACATTGATGAAACAAGAGAAATATACATTACTCCGAGTCTGATATTTATTGTAGATAGATCCCTCATCAGATACCATCTCTTTACTTCTCCTTTGTGCCCAAGTCAATGACTATTTTTAAAGAACATCTTCAAATATCTATAATCATTAGTTTAAGATAACAATTAGATGATGAATAGACCAATGTATAGCTACTTATGACTATCAATTGAGAGTATTCAACAAATAGACTAACCTTAGGCCCAAACGTTACCAATTTTTGGATAACTCATTGTCTCTTCGCCAATTTTAAGCATCGCGGACAAAGTCTGGTATAGGTGATATATTATCGAAACCCACACGCTTCCAATCTTTAGGATGTGCCTCGAGCCTTTCAAGCTTCCTCTCTAACCGTTTTTGTTTGGCATTAAACATGTAAATGTAGTAGAACCCGATGAGAAAACAAAGATACTAGAATCAACAGGAAGTATTTAAGACACACTTAAAACACTTCTATTGACACAAACATAGCACTGCTACAAACAACTCTTGTTGCACGAAATTCAGATTACATACTCTTACAAAGATGGGATAAAACACTTAACCTATTCTACCCAAGAACACACGACATCTTACACAACAAGATTTGTGTTTACCCAATTGTTCCTAATCTACCCAGAAAAAAAAGTAAACATTTTTCTTTGCTCACTATTTTTATACTTGAGTTCTTATGCAAGCATGCACACTAAATCTCTCTCCTAATTTTTTCCAAGAAGAACTAACTTAGGAAGCCTCCTCTCCAGCCGCTTTATATTGGTTCTCCACTAACCAATTTTCTGAGGGAGCATGTTTCGGACCAGCAGACAATCCACTGTTCTTGCGCAGAGAGCCATTGTTTCACCTATGACTTCACTTTGTGCAACATGCCAACCTTATGGTTTTTGCCTTTTGCATAAGGTCACTTCCGTGTTAGCTGAACCAACTTCTGCACGATCTCTCCCACTTGTGTTCCCATGTCTCGAGACACTCATTGAGATTCACACGTGGGATGTTGACTTCACACGTGTGACACTGACTTCAGCTTTGCTCGTTCTCCTATGTAGCACAGGAATCCTCACATCTTCTTTGATCCTTAGCTGCTATCCTTGATGCATCTACAATCTCTCTTTTTTTACTTGAGTATGTCAATCCAAACAACCTTTCTAAATAGAGCGCACTTAGAGGGTAGATACAACCTTTTTAGTGGAATCACCTCAGTGATGTCCACGATCCATTTAACAACAATACCAGAACAGAGCCATAGTATGAAATCACCTCAGTGAGTTTCAAGACCGTATTCACATGTTTGTTGGATTGATCAGAGATAGCAAAATACCAATCAGCACCAGACGCAACATAGATACTGAATATATTCAGACAATAAGATTTAAGACATAGAAGGTCAAGGGTAGGTTCAATTCATAACAACAAAACTACTCCTAAGGCAAGGTTCCAGACTTAAGAGATTTTAAACAGATAAATACCAGAAACACATAAGAAATAAGTTCTTTAAGTTTC